CATTGTGTACATAATAACTAATTAAAACTTATTTAAAAAAAACTGTCTGGGTCTGTTGGGGCTTGCTTGCACTTCCAGGACTGGGAAGAAGGAAGCAAGAAAAGCAGGTGCTCATGGTCATCCTCAGTTACTTGGGACCCTGTGTCAAACAGCAACAAAATCAATAAAACCATCGTGATGGATGCCTTTTGTTCCAATTTAAGGTATGTTGTTATAGTTGCAATTCTTTTTTATAATAGAAAATGGATCATTTTATTTTACAATAGGCTGGTATTGTATGAAAGTGAATAATGGAAACCACTTAATTAATCAATTAAAATAAAATATCTTTTTTATTTTATTAACAGCAATGGATAGATGTGTTTGATCAAACAACTGGACACCATTGCCTATCCATGCTGACTCGTTAAATTATCCGTCACAGGTTTTCTTGCTTAAAGAGGAAAGGGCAGAAGGAAACAAAAAAATGATTTATTCAAGGTTGCTAATAACCTCAGGATGGGTGTCACCAAGGGAAAAGTCAGCCAGTCAAGTGAGCTGCAAATCCCTGCTACAGTCGTGCAAGTATAACACCGGTCAGAAGGGGGTGCTGTCTCCTGCCTGTAACTACCCTCCTGGGAACCAACATGTCAGGAGATGTTGATGATGCTTTCAATTAATTATTTTTTATTACTCTTGGTTCAGTGTATCATATAACCTTTGATATTTCACTGTTGCTCCAAGCACCTCGTCGGCAATAATGAATCACTGCGTTAATAGTGCATGAAGGCATGGACCTACCCTGCCCTGCGGCCTTCCCCGAAGAGATGCAGTTGGTCCAACCAGGCAGACCCCAGCCAGATGGCTTTTCCAGCAAACTCATGCTGGTGCTGGAGGGAAGGAGAAACCTGGAGTATTTGGCAACTGAAAGAAGAAACAGAGAGGAACCTTCTAGCTCAGACTGGGGTGTGTGTGGGAATCCCCCGTGGTGCCAGGCAGTGCAGCCCTGCTTAGCCAAGCTGCCACATCTAATCTGGCTTCTTAATTAGAAATGGAAACCCACACAAGGACAGTAGCCCCTTGGCTTTCATTGATAATTAAAAGCTTCCATTTTAATGATAGCTTACATTTGTGCTATGTGAGTACTTGCAGAGGGTTCCCCACACATAACAAGGAGAGACAGCACTAATTACTTCCAGTTTACAGCTGAGGAGACGCAGAGGGTGAGTGGTTTGCTTTGGCTTTCTGTGAGCAAAGCCTGGGAGGTGACCAAAAATCTGGGGCCTGATGCTTGCTCTGTGTTCTTTCCCTTATCAAAAAATAGACTTTCACTCTCTTTCTGGCTGTCTCCGGTGTCTATTAGCGATGAATGTTTGTATACGCTGGGAACTCAGACATCAGCCAGCCTCTGCCTCTAGAGTGCTGGTATTAAAGATTAAAGATGTCTGCTACCAACATCAGGCCAGCTGTGCCATTTGTAACAACCCAATCTGGAAGCAAACCAAACTCCACCAACAGGAAATGGGTAATGGTGGGGCATTTCTATAGTGTGATGCCATATGGCAATGGAAATAGATGAACAGTGCCAAAACAAATATAAATAACCATCAGATACGACACTCCAGGGCTGGAGAGATGGCTCGGCGGTTAGGAGCACTGACTGCTCTTCCAGAGGACCCGGGCTCAATTTCCAGCACCCACATAGAAGCTCATAGCTGTCTGAAACTCCAGTTCTAGGGTACCTGACACCCCCATACAGATGCACATGAAGATAAGACCCAATGCACATAAATAAAAATAACTTGAAAAATGACCAAAACAAGCAAACTGAATGTAATGGGTAGGAAGTCAGGGCTAGTAACTAGGATGGGGTGGGGGGCATGAGGAAAACTTCGGGGTGCATCTAAAGTCCTGCTACTCAAACTGGGTTGCTATTACAAGAGTAACATATGTGTTCACTTTGTATAAAATTCCCCAGGCAGCACGCCTAGAATGCATACACGTTTCTGCTCATATGTTGTACTTCAAGGAGCTGTGTTTATCCTTATTTGTCTTCTTTCTTTCTTTCTTTCTTTTTAACTTTCTTTTTATATATTTTTGTGTCTTCCACATCATGCATTTTGATCCCATTCATCGCCTGTCGCTTTGTATCTGCCTTCCCTTGCAATCTCCCCCAAAATAAAATGAAATAAAATTGAGATTTTTTTAAGCGAGAGAGAGAAAAGAAAAAGAAAAAAATCTTGTCATGGAAGCTGTAGTGTGGCACAGGGAGTCACACAGTCAACCTTTTTGTCCATACATCTTTACTTAAAAGTGTTCTTTGCAAAGCATCATTGGTCTCTGGTTTCTGTTACACCATCAATACTGGGTCCTCACTGGGGCTCCTCTTGGATATCCTGTTGCCACCCTGTGTTGTGGAGATCCTGTAGCTTTGGGTCTACAGGACCAGCCCCTTCACATGCTCCAGAAGATCACACATGGGATGGGTGTTGGGATGGCGAACTCATAACCCTGTTCCTGGGACTGGGTAGTTGCAGGGTTGGTCAGTCTGTCAGTTCTCCCCCATCCTCATCACCAGGGTGAGCCCTCTGGCTTTGACCCAGCTAGCTCATCCTATGCAGCAGTGAGTAAAGGGCAGGGCTGGTTCTCCTGCCTTCACATCCTCAGGGTCGGTTCACCCACATCCACACCAGCAGGGCCAGCTCTACTGGGCTGCCCAGGTGAGGTGCAGGGCCTGCTCCCCCGAGTGCTGCAGCTGGTGGGCAGGGACAGCTCTCCTGCTCTCCTGACCTCAGGGCCAGCTCTGCCAACTGCCAGGCAAAGGGGAAAATCTCTCCCTTGCCCGTGCCACCATACGGCTGATGAGGGGTGGGGCCAGATCTCCACACTCACTCTTTTTTTTTTTTTGTGGAGTATATGTATTTTATTTGATATACACATATTCAGGAATATATTTAGTGGACCTCCACACGGAAGTTCACCTTGATTATACCAGTTTGTGGTCACTCCAGTCGTATACACTTCTTGTTCTTCCTGTTCTGCCTTGCCATCATTGATAGTCATTTTCATGATTTTCTATGAAATCATTATTTGAATGAAGTGATCTTATGTTTTCACTTTGGTTTCTATCTAAAGACCAAACTGAGAGGAATACAGAAGACACAAAACATCTTGGAACAGTCACTAACCAATTTCAGAAGAACACAGATTATGGATACTCTGGAACTTCCTTTACTTTCAATAATATCTACTTATTTTGAACTCACTCTTTTTTGAGAGAAGTTCCACAATTCAGACCAGGCTGGCCTCAAACTCACAGAGACCCACCTGTCTCTGCCTGAGTGCTGAGACTGAAGGTGTGCATTACCACACCCGGCTATTTTCATTTGTTTATTTTGTTTCCCCCATTTTCGTTTGTGTGTTTTTTTTCTTTTACAGGTTTATTTTAATTTTATTTTTTTAATACACTTGGGTGATTTGCCTGTGTGTGTGTGTGTGTGTGTGTGTGTGTGTGTGTGTGTGTGTGTGTTTACCTGAGGCCCAAACGAGGTCAGAAGAAGGCATTACATTCCTCGGGATTGGAGTTACAGATACTTCTGAGCTACCATGTGGGTGCTGGGAATCAAACGCAGGTCCTCTGGAAAAGCATCCAGTGCTTTTAACTACTGAGCTTTCTCTCCAGCCCCTCATCTTTCTTTTTCTTTTTAATTTTTGGTTTCCACTTTCTGGTTTAGGATAGGATCTCTCACTGAGGTTGGAGCTCATAAACTGACCAGGCAGGCAGTCCGGAGAGCTCCATAGATCCACTAACCTCACCTCCCCACTCTGGGATTGCGGGCACAGGCTACCATAGTCAGCTCTATATGTGGATGCTAACAATAAAAGATCTAACTCTTTCATCCCAAAGGTGCAAAGGGCGCCTGCTGACAGGAGGGAGGGGGACAGCTGGGAACTGAAGCTGCTCAGAAGTCTACAGCTTGGAGGAGGGAGAGGACTCCAGGGTAAAGGTGCTTGCTGAGCAAGCCTGGCGGCCTTTGTCTACCTCCAGAACTCACATAGAGGTGGAAGGGGAGAACCAGCTCACAACGCTGTCTTCTGACCCCCACATGCATATCATTCACACACGCAATTGAAACAATAATAATAGTTATTATTATTATTTTAAAAGTTCATACCTAACTAGGCCTGCTGCAAGGCTGTAATCTCAGCTATTCAGGGGATTGAAACAAAAATTTCAACATCAGGACTGCCTGGGTAACTTAATGAGACCTTGTCTTAAAAAAAGGGGGGAGGGGGGCTGGAGAGATGGCTCAGGAGTTAAAGACCCGGTTCAATTCCAGCATCCACATGGCAGCTCACAACTCTCTGTAATTCCAGTTCCAGGAGACTAAACACCTTTAAACAGACATACATGTAGTCAAAACACCAATGCATATATAATAAAAATAAATACATTTTAAAAAGGATATTCCATTAGTGTTTAAAAATAACCAGAGGTATAACTTAGGTCACTTACCTAGTATTCAGTATTCCTGAGGTCCTGGGTTCGGATTCCCTGCACCAGAAAGGAAAACAGATGTTTCTGGTGAGCAGAAACTCAGGACCAGGCTTCCTTTTCCCAGGACCTGCTATTCTTCAGCAAGCAGGGCTTTCTGCAGGACCACCCTGGCTGGAAAAAGATTACAGGACAAAAACATATTATGTGGGATCGAGGGCTGGACCTCTGGTCCAGGGCTCTGCACGTCACTCCAAACATTGAAAAGAACATTCTTTCACCCAGTGCACTTTAGTGAAGCTTATCTGAGCAGAGAAGAGCTCGGGATCAGGTGGATCCCACAAGCAGAACAAGTTCTGAGGACTCCAACCAACGGCCGGATCAGGCAGCATCTATAGAGAGCCAGAGCTAGGCACAACAATGCCAAAACACAATGAGTTCTTTTTTTTTTCTTTCATTTATTTGTAAAGGCATCAATAAAAATCTTGACACACTAAGAAAGTCACAGTTCTACAGTTGTGCTCAGTCACAGCTTTGGCAGACTGACTTGCACGCGCTCCATTTCCACCGCTGGGTTCCTCAAAGTGTGCTCCTATAAACACATCCACTGGCGAGTGAGGCACAGAGCCCAGACCGGGAAAACACTGGTGAAAACTCAGCCAAGAGTCCGCGAGATGGCAGAGAGACTTCTGTTCATACTGACCAGGGACACCAACACACCGTCTCTGTGGGAGAGAGCTGAACTGCTTGATTTGCATGTGAACACTTCCCTTCTTTTTTATTTTGTCTGAAACCCATGTAACAGCCAGTATGGTAGCCACTCATGTACCAAGAGATCAGCATACTTCCCAGGGCATCAATGTCATCCATATAGTCTGGAGATATGGGAGGGGGTGGAGGAATTATTGGTGTTCCTGAAGGGAATGGAGGCATCCAACACGGCAAGAAGGGAGGAGGGGATGGGGGCGGCGGTGGTGGGCCATTGAATCTTAAACCTGGCTTTCCTGGTCCCAAGCCTGACCCTGGCATTGGGGGTGATGGCAGGAGAAACGAAGTCCATGGCGCAGCTTTGGACTTGCTCTGTGGTTTACTTCTGAGAGATCTGGAGGAGTTTTCACTGTCATCTGTTGAAGCTGGGCTTTCATTCTCCTGAGTGCTCTGTCCTGTATTATTAGCTACTTCACAGGCTGGGGAAAGGAGATCAGACAGGCTTTGTTCCTCTCTGTTTCCATATCCAGTATAAACCACAACACAGGTTTCTCTCTTAAAATCAAGGGAAGAAATGGTAGCTGGGTAAATGCAGCCGTCTTCTGACCAAATGGCAGAACTTTTGTCACCAACTTTCCACTGTTTCAAGGGAGCTGTGGCATTCTTCTTTTGGTTTTTATTCTTCTTAGTGGGTTTTCTTCTAGCTGTGACTTTTGGTTTTTCTGAAGTTTCACAAATGTCGCCTTTCTTCGGTGCATGCTTAAAGGAAGCCACAGCTTTATCATAAACTTTTATCAATGCTGTATCATCCCAAATATCAGAATCATCACTCTGGCCGGTGCCACACCAGAAGAGCACCCACACAATGAGTTCTTTAGTGAACTGGCCAGTAGGTGTCTTATAACCAACAAAAGCCCACTATTGTGATAAAACCTAAGTTGGTTGGTTGATCCATTTGAACCAATACAGGAACCTTAGTAGCATAATTTAAATATGTGTCTGTCTATCATCTATCTATCTATCTATCTATCTATCTATCTATCTATCTATCTATGCTATCTATCTACCTATCATCTATCTATCTATCTATCTGTCTATCTATCTATCATCTTTCTTTCTATCTATCATCTATCTATCTGCCATCTGGATATATCTATATATGGTTGCTGGGAACTGAACTCAGGTTCTCTGGATGAGCACTTTAATCACTGAGCCATCTCTCTGGCCCTACATAATTTTGGCTTACTAGTTCCATTTCAGATAATGATTCCCTGAAGGAAGAATGGCCAGAATTTAGGAAATGGGCTCTACTCACCAGCGTCATCATCTCAGATATCTCTCTCTGCACCCCCCATCTGTTTCTTGTAGCATGGATAATAAAAACCCAGGAATAGAAATTGGGGTTCAACCTGAAGGTCAGAAAAGCAAAACAGCAGCCACTGGCTCTTACCTCTACCTCAGACGGAAGCGGGGCTTCTGCCTCCATGAGTCCTCAGAATGAGGCTGAGCTGAGAGCTGTCTCCTCCCACTTTATCTTCCTCTCTAGTGCTGGGATTAAAGGAAGGCTCCGTTACAACACTGCCACCCGGCTTGTATGGTGAGCTAGTGTGGCTCCTGGGATTAAAAGTGGGCGCCACCACTGCCTGACTGGCCAGTGTGGCTGTTTTACTCTCTGATCTTCAGGCAAGCTTTATTTATTAGAATACAAATGAAATCTCACTACAGTTTCTCCCCTTCCCCAGCTCAGGTTTGTTTTCTCTTCTGTGAGACAAGTCTCTCCACCTAGCCCAGGCTAACCTTGAATCCCAGCAATCCTCCTGCTCGCTAGGGTCTGGGATTACAAGCGTGTACCGGGACACCCAGCTCTCCCTGCCCATTAGGCGTTCTGTGCTGTGTGGGTTGGTTGAAGAAAGAAGGCCACTCCAAGATGACTTTGAGGCTCTCTGGCACAGGGAGAAAGAGTTGTGCAAAGTCTGTTTATGGAGTGTTGCACAAAAGTTGGTCTTGGGTAAAACAAGTTCCTTATACCAAGCCCCTTAAATAATCTATAGGTTCTCTGAAGGGAGACATCACACCCCTGTAACTTTAGTCTTTATCGTGTACCTGTTGGCAGTACCCAACCATTCAAGAAATCCAGGTGTGCTCTCCTGCGGCCCTGGGTTCGATTCCCAGCACCAATGTAAGTAAACAAATGGATGAATAGGTAATCTCTCTCTCTCTCTCTCTCTCTCTCTCTCTCTCTCTCTCTCTCTCTTTTTTTTTTTTTTTTTTTTTTTTTTTTTAGACAGGGTTTCTCTGTGGTTTTGGAGCCTGTCCTGGAACTAGCTCTTGTAGACCAGGCTGGTCTTGAACTCACAGAGATCCGCCTGCCTCTGCCTCCCGAGTGCTGGGATTAAAGGCATGCGCCACCACCGCCCGGCTGAATAGATAATCTCAATGGCTACAACTAAGTCAAGCATTTATTTTTAATTTGGAAGGAGGTTCGAGATAGCATTTTTCTGTGTAACTCTGGCTGTCCTGGAACTCACTCTGTACACTAGGCTGGCCTCGAATTCAGAGATCCGACTACCTCTGCCTCCCAAGTGCTGGGATTAAAAACCTGCACTACCACCACCCAGCTATTTTTAGTTTGTTTATTTATTTATTTGTGGATAAAACACTTGAGTGTAATTAAAGTCAAGGTTGAGAAGAACCATTTCCTCTAGATGCAAACGAGACACTCCCAAATTCAGTAGCAATCCACCCAGCTCATGTGTGTGGTGTTCTACTGGAGGTGAATATGGTCTGTTTCCCTGGCCTGGCTTTTGCCTTTGTCCCTCAAAGCCTGTTGGATCAGGTGGCGGCCTGGATAAGAGGCTAATCATCAATCTGACAAGATGGCCAATACATCTCAGCAGCAGGTTAACTTAATAGGAGGCAAGTGTTGAAAGAATCTAAGTGGGAGCTGCAGGAGCTGGAACTGGGTCAACGCAGCAGCGGGCGGCAAGCAGAACAGAACCTACATTGCTGGGCTCCTGAGCCAAGGAAAGATTGGAGGGACTGGAACAATATCCTGGACTGCGACTGGCCTGGCAAGGAGGGACACAGCCCTACAGAGCTACCTGTTACTTGCCGCTGGTCTTGCTACTGGGCAAAAGCAGCAAGCCCAGAGAGGCTGGCACTGGAGAGCCCAGCAAAAGGCCCATGTCTTCTGTACGCCTGCATAGAAGGCCTTTGAGCTGATTGGCTATGGGACCAATGGAAACAAAGCGTGCGTGTGTGGAGAAAAGGCAGGAAAGAAGGAGAGGAGAGAAGTTTGCCTGAAGGACAGAGTAAACCCTTCATGGCCCCATATTCTGCAACCACCAGAGGCCCGTGCACGGCAGAGTTCCAACCAGTCCTCGCTCTGACTGTCCCTCTCCCCCCAGGCTCCATGCCTGTCCTCTACTTCCCTGCCTATGTAATCCCACTTTGATTGCTAAGCAACGCCGTCCGTGGTTACCCTCTTCTAAAGTGCAGACCCGAAGCCCGGGCACTTCAGCAAGTCAGTGGAATCAGTTCATCCTTTATCCAATTTATTTGAGAAGCACCCCTGTAATAGGTACTTCACTAGGAAGCCGGGTGCCCTGGGAAATAAGACTTCATCAGGGTGACCGAGAAGATTCAGTTCAAACTTGAAGTACCGACTGGACACCTCTGGTCAGCAGAAAGGGAGCTGGAGCTGAAGGAGGATAACTTGTGGGAGACTTACTGCTCCCTGGATCAGCATCACCCCCCGGTTGCGCTTGGCTTCCCATGCTGTTCTCTGTCAAATTCTAACTCTGCAAGGAGTTACTGCTCCATTGTTCGCGTGTTCTGAACATTCTGACATTTCTGCATGTTTCAGTTAGGGACTTTCCGCCCGACCATTAGATCATGGTTAGGTTGCCTAGAAAGTTGTTTAGTTACCCATGTACACAAGAAGAACTTCCTCGTTTCCCTTACCCTAGATTTACCTGGATTATTCCCTTGAAAAATGAGACTTGATCAGAATCCCGGTTGTCTCCATCTCTTGTGTCTCTTGTCCCTTTCCATTCCCACTCCCTTTCTAGGGCGTCTAGGGTCGGGGCCATAACAGAAAAATGCACAACACTTCCTGGAGGAGCTTTCAGCCTTGTTAGGGGCACCCAAGTACACAAGAGACTCAGGCAGAGCAAGGAAGTGTCGCTGAGGCTCCCAGGGAAGGAGCTTCACTTTAGAAAGTTGGGTGCAGCTGTGTCAAAGGGCCTTTTCTGGTGTTCTCGTGGCTGAACCACACTGACTCTTTCATCCAGGAGCCCGGAAAGTGGGCTGTTACAACCCCACAGTTTTCTAAATATTAACATGGGTGTAACTTCCTGGTCGCCTTGCTTCCCACCCTCCAGAGTCCTTCCTAGCTGGTGTTAAAGGGAGTCATTCATAGGTGTCTGTAGTGTGCTCAGGGGCCCACCCACCACCCTCGCTTGTTCCTCCACTCCGGCCACTTGCCAAGTCCTGTGGTAGGCGGAGTGGTTTCATATTTACTAAGTGTCCCTGTGACAGATCCTGTCTGTCACAGTCAAGCTCACAAGGCAACCCTTGTGAACTCCACCAGCTCAGACGGTTAGAGGGAAGGGAAGACTGTGACCGTAAGTGGAGTCAGTGTGGCACTCTTCTACGTTCCCAGCACTCAGGGGAGAAGAGCCAGGAGGATCAGGAGATCAAAGTCTTATTTGGCTACGCAGCCAGTTTAAGTTCGAGGCCATTGTAGGCTACATGAGATACTGTTTCAAAGTAAGCAAGAAAGACGGCGGGGAGAAAAGAGTCAAAAGAGCTGGGCTTGCGGAATTAGAAAGGAGATCAAGAAGGGTAAAACAGGTGATGAAGATGGATGGGTGGATGGGTGGGTGGGAGAAAGGACACACGGGACACGGAGGAGGATGAGATGAGATTGTCAGGGAAGGGCCACAAGGAGGATTGAGAGGAGCTGAGATAAGAAGGGAAGGAGAATCTTTAAGACACATTTTGGGAAAAAAATGCCTCATGATATCTAATACCTCGGATGCTAGTTTAAAACTTTATGTGTATGCCTGTGGCCAGAAGAGGTCATCAGACCTCATTACAGATGGTTGTGAGCCACCATGTGGTTGCTGGGAATTGAACTCAGGACCTTTGGAAGAACAGGCAATGTTCTTAACCATTGAGCCATCTCTCCAGCTCTAGTTTAAAACTTTAAAAAGCTTAATACTTTTGAGACTTTATTTTATTTCTATTTCATGTGTTTGAGCATTTGCCTGAGCGTATGCCTGTAGCGAGCTGCATGGAATCACACGTGACGGAGATGTATAATCAACTCCTATGGCTAAAGTCTGACCTAGGCTATGATCACGCAATGATTGTCAGCTGCTTGCATATGCGTGGGCCTATGGGCAGTGCCCACCTAGCAATCCGGGATTGGCAGCCCATGCCTACTTAAGGGCTGGGAGAGGTTTGCCCAGGAAGAGAGGGGAAGAGAGAGAGAGAAAGTGAATAAAGTCCTGGAATAAACTGCAGTAAGAAGAGCTCCGGTGGTCGTGCCATCCTTGCTGGACGAGGGTGGACGCGACATATGCCTGTGTCCAAGGAGGCCAGAAAAAGGCACCGGATGCCCTGGGACTAGAGTTACAGTCAGCTGTGAGCGGCCTGTGTCTGTAAGACAGTTTCTTTGGTGTCTTCCATCTGCTCTGGCTCTAACAATCTCTCTGCCCCCCTTTTCTGCATAGCTCCCTGAGTCCTGAGGGGAGGGTTAGGTGAATCCCATTTAGACCAAGTGTCCCAAAGATGCTCAGTCTCTGAATATTGGTCAAGTGTGGGTCCCTGCATCACTGCCCATCTACTGTAGGAGGAAGTTTCCCTGATGAAGGCTGAGCAAGACTGATCTGAGTCCCAGCCTGGCGTGACCCCAGGGTCTCAGTTTCTGAACAGCAGCCCTCACTGAAGGAATGGGGGTCTTTGAGAAATGGTTTGCTGTTGATTTAGGTTAGCATTTGTCTTAGTTAGGGTTCCTATTGTTGTGATAAAACAGCATGACCAAAAACCAAGTTGGGGAGGAAAGGGTTTATTTGGCTTCCACTAACTAACACATTGCTGCTCATGGCTGAAGAGAGGCAGTACAGGAGCTCCAGCCGGGCAGGATCCTGGAGGCAGGAGCTGATGCAGAGGCCATGGAAGGGGCTGCTTACTGGCTTGTTTACCCCCGCTGGCTCAGTCTGCTTTCTTCCAGAACCCCGGATCAGCAGCCCAGGAATGGCATCACCCACCTGGACTGGGCCTTGCCCCATTGATCACTAATTGAGAAAATGCCTTACA